TTCTAGGACGTCCCCGTTTCCTCGGTCTTGGTGATGCGACATCATCTTCGCTCTCCTCCTCTAAATCCTGATCCTCCTCTTGATCTGCATCTTCCTGCAAAATGCCATCGTCCTGCGGAATGCCATCTTCCTGCGGAATGCCATCTTCCTGCGGAATTGCTTCTTCCTGCAGACTGCCATCCGGCGGACTCTCCATACTGATTCCTGCCGCGCCATCTGTAGATATGTCTCCATCGAAGAAATATCCTATTTCCTTGTCCGCTCTCTGCATTATTTCGACCAATGGAAAACGACTGCTCCAGGAAAATAACATCTCTGGACACAACGATACATCTTTTGTGGACATCGTAGAGCCTGCACGCCTTGGATTGCTCTGAGTATCCTACAAAAATAAGTTTTAGACCTTTTGTTTCAAACTTTCCTTTACCTGGCTTCTTGTTTAGGCTGATACTATCGCACCCAAACGTTCTGAAATGCCTGACACTTGGCTTCCGATTGAACCAACGTTCATATGGAGTCTTATCATCCAGCTTCTTGGTAATCGTCCGATTCCGTACATAAGTGGCCGTATTTATTGCCTCAGCCCACAAAAATTGTGGCTGAGTCGCCGCTTCCAGCATACACCTCGCCATCTCGACTAAAGTTCGGTTGGCCCTTTCAGCTACTCCGTTCTGCTGGGGTGTATAACTTGCAGTAGTTTGGTGTATAATTCCCTTATCTCGAAGAAATTCCCTAAACTCCGCATTAACGTACTCCAAACCGTTATCGCTACGCATACGTTTTACCTTGCCTCCAGTTTGCAGCTCCATCTGTGCCACAAAGGTCTTAAAAACATTTAACGCCTCCGACTTCCTTCGCAAAAAATATGTCCAAACATATCTTGTATAATCGTCGATAAACGTTATTACATAGATCGCACCAGATATAGAAGCCAGACGCATGGGGTCGCAAATATCCGTATGTATTAGTTCCAGTTTGCTCTTTGTGTATATCCCATCGAACCGATCGAATGGTTTCCTCGTTATCTTACATGTTCCACATGTTACACAATCAAAATTTCTTGAACTTTTTAATTCCAATCCGCGAACTATACTCTTGCTTGAAATTTCTCGTAAATCTCTCTGGTTCAGGTGTCCAAATCTGCCGTGCCAAATTTCAAATTTTGACTTTTCCTCCGCCTGCACACTGTAAATCTTTTGTTTACATTTGCTCGACACTCTGGCCATGAAAATACCGGCATCCAACTTCGCCGTAAACAATTTCTCATTTTCGTCGTTAATAACACAAGCCATTTTATTTGTAAATTTTACTGAGTGACCATAACTAATTATTTTACCAACAGATAAAAAATTGTGGTTCAGTTCCGGAACAAATAATACTTCGCGTAGCAAGATGTCACTGCAAAATTGTGATTTTATTTTTACGTCTCCTACGCCTTGTGCCTTAACTTTATCGTCTGATGCCATTGTAATGCTATCATTACTCTCTCTTAGAGTTTCGAAATATGATCTCTCTCTGCACATATGAGATGAAGCTCCACTGTCCAAAATCCAACTGTTGTCGCCAGTTCCCGATTTTCCAATATACGCACTCATTGCTGCGTTTGCCTCTCTCTCTTTTTTGCATTGAGCTTTTATGTGACCACGTTTACCGCATGCAAAACACTTTATCTTTTGCCTTCGATCGTAATCCGTTGTCTTCTTTGCGCCCTTCGCCGAAAACACTTGCTCAGTTCCGCTAGGATTTCCAGTCTCTCTATCATCTCTTCGTGATTCCTCTTCCAATATTTTGACCATCAGCTGACTTAGGGTAGGTAGCTGATCTCTGCATTCCATTGCAACGACAAAATTTTCCATGTCGTCCGGCAAACTACATAGCAGTAAAATGGAGAGTAACTCGTCTGGAACTTTTACATCAATTTCGTTGAGATTCTGAGCGATCGAACAAAATTTGGTGACTTGCGGAGACATCCTATCAGTGCGTTTAATTTGAAACTTTATCAACTGCTTAAACAGACTGACTTTCCTGGCTGGTCCATGGGCAAAATATATCTCATGCAACTTTTGCCATGCTTCTTTTGCGGTTTTACAGGTTCTGATATGAATGAGCTCACTTGGCTTTACGCACATGATTATCGTCGCTAAAGCCTTCTCATCATTTCTCGGCCATAGCAATTGTTCTGTGGCGGTCATTGTGGGCTCCACACTTCCTATAACATACTTCCACATCTCGGAGGTAACCAGAAAACTTTTCATTTGAAGTGACCAACTCTCGTAGTTGTCGCCCGACAATTTTTCAATGTTCATCGATCCGTGAGACATTGTTCCGTTTCTTTGACTACGCTCTTTCTCTACCAAATTAAAAACACTACCGCAAATCAGGGTACCGTGCCGACGTACTTCTCGATTTAATTAGGTTCCTAGTTAACACGATCTGGGCCCATAACCTTTGTAAGAGTTACCGCGTGTAGTTACCGGAGACCGAAATAATGGACCAACGTCTATTCAGGTTAGAGTCATTTAATGTAGTGAATCAAGTAAAGCTTAGAACTATTACAGAAGGGTAATATGAAAAAGCTCTATCAGCTGTTATACATTCTAGTTGATATAAAGCTAAACATGGCAATGTTCCAACAATAATAAAGCATACATTTTCAATATACCCTAATATATAATATCAGTCAGAAGTTTGCAACGCAGTGAAGGAGAAATTTCCGACCCTATAAAGTATATATATTCTTGATCAGCATCAACAGAATGAAACTTTGCAAAAAGTCTTCTATATACTCTCACTGCTATATACATATATCGAAACGGGCCGGATAGGACGACTATATCATATAGCTGCCATACAAATATTCGATACATTTTTAGAATTATAACTTAGCTGTTTTTCAACATTTTTGCATTATTTTTGAGATATGGCTATTTTATAATATTTCAGAATTTTGGTATAAGTTTTATGAAAATCTGACAACTATATCTTATAGCTGCCATAGGAACGATCGGGAAATTAATAGAAAATAAATTATAACATTGTTGTCTTTTAACGAATTTTCATCTACTCTGAGATATCTTCTTCTTCTTCTTTTATTATTTCAGAATTTTGGTATAAATTTTATGAAAATGGGACAACTATGTATATCATATATGTATTTGCCATAGAAACGATCGGTAGACGTAGAGAAAATGTAAAGCTGGGAATGCAAAACTGTAACTGTCAAACTGTAAACATAATAAGGTAAAATGTAATGAACTAATATCTGCAAGGGTATACAAATTCGGCGTGCCGAAGTTCGCTTCCTTTCTTGTTTTAGTTTCAGTTTCATTTTTTCCGCCGAACTAAGGCTTTAACAGTATCTTATATGAATGATAACAAAAACATGTTTTCTTTCCTTGTCCCAATGAAAAGTGTGACCGCTTAAAATATCAAAAAAATCTCAAACAAATTTCGATGATAAATGATAATTATAAAAAAAATATCACTATAACAATATTTCTTTTTTTTCGCAAAAAACATCGATATATTGATATTTTGATATATTTTCGACATCTCTAATCTGAGTTGATTCTGTTTGTAATTCCGCAGCGAGTAGACGCGTTTCTTAATTTTGTATTCTTAAACCCTAAAATAAAAAACTCACGTTTCCAATAACAGCTATATGATATAGACGAGCTATATGGCCAATTTTTTGTGGATATACTTAAAACATTTTTCTTGATTTTTGATATTAATTTCGTAACGATATATCAACTACAAGTATTTTTGGCCGCGTCTCCATACGAGCCCAACCACTGTGCTTAGCACAGTGTGCTATGTTAAGCACTCTTAAGGGGGTCTCTTTCATTCAAAACGCGTTTTTTTTTGACCCTATTTAAAAAAATTCTTATTTGAAAACGCAAAAAATAATTGAAAACTTTTTTTTATTTATTATATTACAAAGGTTCAAAGTAAATCAAAAATATTTTTGCCTCGATACGAGGGCTGTTCAAAAAGTCATGAGACTTCAAAGTTGGTGGTGAAAAAAAAAGGTGTCGTCCTGGCGGCCACGATTCCGGGTCTCCGGGGTTATAATCAGTATAGATGTCATTCTCGGGAGACAGTCGACAATAATTTTGTATAATGTAAAATGGCGGCCATTCAAAAAAAATTTCAATTTCGGCCTTTTTTTTTGTAGTTTAGTGTAATAGTCACCTACCCAAGCTATAAATAAATGCCAAAAAAATGAAATTATAATACCCTGCAAGGGTGGAACAAGAAAGGAAGCTAACTTCGGCACGCCGAAGCTTGTATACCCTTGCAGTTTGCAATTGGATCATTAAGAATCAAGTCATTCTGAATATTTTTACATATGTAGCTAATCATAATTGGGTTAAATATTAATATTATAAATTTAAATGATGAAAACACAGAGTTTCATTACATTTTACCTATACTTATTATGTTTACAGTTTGACAGTTATAGTTTTGCATTCCCAGCTTTACATTTTCTCTACGTCTACCGATCGTTTCTATGGCAGCTATATGATACAATCTTCCGATTTTCATAAAATTTATACCAAAATTCTAAAATAATAAATAAAACTCATATCTCAGAGTAGTTGAAAATACGTTAAAAAATAACGAAATGTTATTTTTTTTTTATTAATTTCCCGATCGACTCGGCTGTTAATGCTAACCAAGAATAAATTGATTTATATGGTCGGAAAAGTCTCCTTCACTGCGTTACAAACTTTTGACTGAAATTATAATACCCTGCAAGAGTATAAATAAATAAAAAAAAACATTTAACACAAACTTAAATGTATTTCTTTATTATTTTTGTTTACATTTTGTATGCGAATATATTTTTATTTAACTAAATAAATAATATTAATAAATATATATATATTATATATTATATAATAATATTATAAATATTTTTATTCATTTAGGAAAACTCGATTAAACTTAATGTTTTGCTAATAATTTAAATTTAAATTTTATATTTTTAGATGCAAGTACACGAATGAAGACGACATATTCCGATATGAAATCAAGGGAACACTACGAATAAAGATGCTTCGTGTATGTTAACAAATTGTACCTGAAGATATATCAGACCGTTTACTTTGAAAATGATTCTGTTGAAATTGTCACAAAGTGCGATAGGTTGTTGTACATTTTTGTTGCTTATTGAGGCGTTAAGCATAAGTGGAACTCCATCAGCAGTGCCTCATACACATGGTAAATATATTACAATGTAAATAGGTTCATAAAAATGATATTAAAGATACCTAAGTTCAGTTGCGACAGTAACAAATAATTTTTAATTCGTTCAGCTGCAGCAATATAATATGAGGCAGCAATAAGGTATATATTTAATTTTACATCTGTATATTCTGCAGACACGATGAAGTGGAATGGGCAAATGTCTTATTTCCGTTTATTTCATAACAATATCTTTAATTTGGTCTAAAATTTAACAATGAATCATCTTACAAAGGAACATTTGAAAATGATTGGATTTTATTAACAAAATGCGTGCTCTGTATAGAAAGTTCATCGCCCGTTTCTTCCATTAAACGGTCAGATTAATCGAACCACTTAAGCGGCTGTTCGGGCTATGGTGACTAAATTTCGCACTAAATTTACATTGTAAGACATTAAAATGAAGAAAATATCACAGCTGTATCGGCCAGTTTTAATGATGACCGTTAATTATCAATTCGTCACCGACCGCAGCAATTGGGCTTCTGTTACTCAACCTAGATCGGGCGATTCATCTCTTTCATATATATATATATTTATATAATATACATATATATAATTAAATACTTGCGATATTCATAAGTTAAAAAAATACAAACTTTATTTAATTGAATATTGGTTTTACAAGTTATTTTATTTTGAAGAACACCAACCTAAATCTTTCAGGTCTTAAACTGAACTTAACTTATTGATCTGGATGATTGACGTTCAAGCCTCGGTCTCGAGCTTTCAAATATAGAGTTAAACTTTAAAAGTTCTGGAGAGAATTTCGGAGAGAGCTTGGAGTTAATTGTTAATCTTCTCTTGGATTCAAGTGCATTCGCTCTTGGATACAAGTGCTCTTTGATTTTACGATTGTTATTGAAATCTAATATTTTTGTTTTCGACTTGGCGAGTCCGAACTTAGAACGTGGGAACGTGTGATGACTTAAGTCATAAATGTTTAGTCTACAGAAGGGACTGTCTGGAGTTTGTTTAGAGTTTCAGATTGCATCCTTTGTGTAGAGCCTGGGTTTATTTCACTAGCTTTGGCTTTGGGATTCTTATAAACATCCGGTTGCTATCTGATGTGTACTAGATATAATTAGGGTAGCAAAGGGTGTATTGGGCAAGTGTGTATTGGGCAAGGGTATTATGATAAAGTGTGTTTATGTTGTGTGTAAAGAGAGTAGGCGTAGACAGAGTCTATGGGACTGTGGATATGTCACTATATATATATATTTATTTTTTTTTTTTTTTGTGGGACTTTGTGAAAGCTCATGCCCGCTTCAAGTGACGTATTGAAAGATTACATTAAGCATTTATTCGTGAAATACCGGCCGATATGTTGGAAAGAGTATTCTAAAATTGGACTTTTGGTGCAACTTTGATTTCTTCTTCGTGACAGTGAAAACTGTATTATTCACTACTTTAACTAAAATAGCGAGGAACAAGTGAAATATGTAATTTAAAATGTGGTGCCAAAGCTTCAAGTATGCCCACAAAACTAGTTGGTGTATTCCTTTATAATCATGCCCCAAAATATCCCTAATTGCTACTATTTATTATAAGGTCAACTTATTCTTTATTTAAGGGGGGACATCTGAGTAACTGGCAAAAAAAAGCCGATTTTCAAGAATTTTTTTTGGCCAAATGAAAAAGCAAATCGAATAATTTTAAGGTAGGTTTGATAATGTTATATGTGAAGTACAAAATACATTTTTTTGGAATAAATCGAAAACAAAATGGCGGCTGTGCAGCATTTCTTCGTAAGCCCTATTTTTTTGAAAGGGGTCCATGGCCGGAAACCTAACGTCCTTAATTTTTGATCTAGAACAAAAAATCAAATTTTGTTAGATTCTATATCTCAACCGCTATCGACACACGTAGGATTTTTTCGATATTTTGGTTTTTAGCAAAATGGTAAGTGATTAAATAAAATTTTAAATTTTCATGAGAAAAAAACGTCACAAAATTGTTGATAAAAAAAAAGTAAGCAAAAAAAAAAAAAATCCTACGTGTGTCGATAGCCATAGGTATTTTGAATATACTGTCAAAATTTCAGATCGATCGGTTAAGATTTGTTCGAGTTAGGTTTCCGGCCAACTCAAAAAAAGTGGTTTTGAGATAAACGCGTTTAAAGTTTTAAAATCGTATATGATTACATGTGAGGCATCGCCGTAGAATGGAAAATTTTGACACTTATAAACTTTTGCCGGACTCTATCTTTTGATATGTTATTTTTAGGACCCTAAAGTATTTTTTAAGCAAAAAAAAAAATTTTCGATTTTTAAAAAAAGTTACTCAGATGTCCCCCCTTAAAAGATTTTGGGAACGTCTACCACACACCGCACAGATCACGGTCGCCCACCAGCTTTTATCGTAAGCCTTCGTGTGTCGTCGGCCGCTACTTTATTTTTATTGCTACTAACTGTTGTGTTGCTAACTACTCCCCTTCTTTTAAATAATTTAAGTTCTCAGCTTAAAACATTGTTTCAGAATCGCGTTTAGTGCTAGTTTTGATTGATGCAAATTGTTTATTTTGACAAGTGTGAAGGCGATATTTAAATGTAATGCTGATAAGATAAGGAGTTTTAATATACTACTGATCATGGTTGTGTGAGCATTTAACTAAGCCTGCGTAAGACGCTCCCTTTTCAAGTTGTCAAAGTTCAAAGAACCAACCATAACTTAATACAGCAAGCTTAGTAAACAATTTCGTAGGTGGCCCTTGACGAATATTGTCCTTGTGGACCACCCTCCAATTAATAAGGACCGTTGTCCCCAAATCAGCATGGACCCTTTTCTCGGTATACAGAGGTATAAGTTTATCTCCCAATATCCTGTTGGATTTTCCTAAAACTTTGTCACCAACCTTAAAAATCCTATATTGCCGAGACGGATTATTTCGGTCTAATTTGAGCCTTCTTAAGGTTCATGATTATATCTTTAGCAAACTCAACACGCATGCAGAATCTCAGCAGGTTTCCTATTTGTGACAGAGTGAAAAGACTTATTATAATCTATGGTCGCCTAAAGGATTAATTCATTAATATCGTCTTTTTTCCTTTCCAATTTAAGACACCTGGCAATCTCTATGAGGTTACAGGGCAACCTTTCCACCTGACCATTCGACGTACTGTGTACAAGTATGGCATTTGCTTTATCAATATCATACTGATTATTTAGCATGGATCGTATCGTTTCGGAGTTGTACGATGCCTCGTTATCGCAATATATTGATTTCACGTTAGGGAAAACGTTCACTAGCTGAAGGATCGGTATCTTTACATCCAATATAGCAAGTGATGCTACTGGCTGAATCACCGCAAACTTGCTAAATTTTTCAACATCCGTGAGGAAGTACTGTTGAAAAGATGTCCATATGTCTCTCCTACCCGAGTTGGTATTGGGGTACATCCTAATTACTTCTCTAATGGGTGCCTATTATATTTTGCATTTTGACGAACCCTGCAGCTTAAAACGATTTCGGCTGCCATTTTACCCTTTATTGGGAAATAATAGTTAAGTAGCACTTGTTTAATGCAGCTGTATGAGCCTTCCTATAGTCAAGTACGACATCAACCGTAACTTTATATTCTTTTTTACATCTTCACTCCCATTCGAACTAAACATTATAAACTTACATAATTATAAGCCTTATTAAATAAAATAATAAATAAACTGGAAATAAAATACATGATTGGCGCAGTCGGCAAAAGTGATAAAAACTAATCGACCATTGACTATAAAATGTCTTGGGAAGATCATATAAAGCTGTTTTTCCATAAACATACAAAGTGCGGTTAAATTGGCCAGTAATATTTAAGTCTTACTGAGCCTCATTATAAGCCCCACATATTTTTGCAAAACCACAATTGCACATTAATACACCAAGCCAGCCACCATCAAAACGGAAAAATCTGCATTAACGATGCTGGAAATATCAACGGAGAACAGTAATAGTTGGTGACTATATCAGCTCAAAACTGGAGGCCGACTAGAGGCATGCCTCGGAGAAGTGGCTGTGACCAAAAATTTGAAACCAAGATGTCTACAATTTGGGACCTTCTAGCTGAGCTGTTTGACCTTAGAGTAAGATGCCAAATTCCGCAAATATCGTATTAATTAATAATAACAACCCTGCCGAGTGGATAGCTGTAAAACACATCTTACAATCAAACTTTAATATAGCCGAAAGTTTAGAAATTATAGAAAATAAAATAAAAACATCAGAATTAAGAAATAATATCAATGATTTGTACGAACATCTCACAAACCAGTTAACTAAGTTAAATTTAAAATCTCAAATTGAAGAAAATAAGTGGTACACAAGTGATACAAACGAATATATTGTTTTAAAAATGTTTATCGCTAAGCTACCTAACGAGCCAAAATTAATTCTTCAAGCTAGAAACCCGAAAACACTTCTTAAAGCTAAGGAAATGTTAATTGAAACAGATTATATCTTTAACAAGATAGGAAGCTAACTTCGGCACGCCGAAGTTTGTATACCCTTGCAGATATTATTTCATTACATTTTATCTATACTTATTATGTTTACAGTTTGACAGTTACAGTTTTGCATTCCCAGCTTTACATTTTGTATTCATCTACCGATCGGTTTATATGGCAGCTATATGATATAGTTGTCCGATTTTTTTGAAATTTATACCAAAATTCTAGAATAACAAAATAAGCTGATATCCCGGAGTAGATGAAAATACGTTGAAAAACAACGAATCTAAAAATTTTTTTCTATTAATTTCCCGATCGTTCCTATGGCAGCTATATGATATAGTCGTCCGATTTTCATAAAATTTTAAACAAAATTCAGAAAAAATATAAAATGGTCATACATAAAAAATGGTGCAAAAATGTTGAAAAACAGCAAAGTTATCATTTTTTTTCTACAAATATATCGAACATTTGTATGGCAGCTATATGATATAGTCGTCCGATCCGGCCCGTTCCGACATATATAGCAGTGAGAGCAT